TCGGCTTCGCGTTGAGGGCGTTCCTCAGGGCTTCGTCACCGACTGTAGATGAAGGTCCTGAGCGTGGTTGATCTCCAAAGGTCGTGTCGCCAGATTCCAAGCGTTTCAACCATCGAGACACCGTGGAATGGTGGATGACGTTGCCCTTGAATGCAGCGCAGATGTTGTCCGCGGCGGCTCTCGCAGAGTGTCCTTGGGGGAACTCGTAATAGACGATGGGGCGAAGAGTTGCTCGTTCGATCGGAGCCATGGCTGCAAACTAATGGCAGAAGCAGACTTATATACCCCGAGGGCAGAAGTTTCGAGAACCTTCCAGCATATACAAATGCAAAGCCCCGCCCATCATTCCTTTGAAAAATTTTATAAATAGTTTTAGAAAGTGTTGCAAGACTTTCTTTCCAACCCAATAGAAGCTAATAGAAGAGAATACTGGGAGTGTTGCATCCGTGGGAGCTCATTTCCTGAAGATATCGTGAACGACTTCGAGGGGTTTTCCTTGAGGCATGAATCCCTTTTCTTCCTTCCTTAGGGCCAGTATTGCCAGACGTCTCCCTGGGCTGGCTTTCATCTTTAGTTAATATCGTGGGATTCCATTGTTTTCCTCTTTGTTGTAAGAATGAAAAACTCGGATAATGTACGCGAGAAATCCCAGAGATATCGCTTAGTTTCTTTCCAGGCGACTCACTGGGTTGGCGACTGAGGCGCCATCTTACATCGATAATGGCAACCTTCCCTTTACAAGAATAGCCAGCTGCTCTGACTAATGAAAGCGAAAGAACAGAAGGATAGCATGCTTATCAAAAGGTGATAAAAACGCATTTCAGTGCGTTAACCTTAAAAATCAAGGGACCTCTTTAATTGGAATATATTTCCCCAATGGAAAATTATCCTTTCTACTCACTTCCTTTCTCCAACGCATGACAAGACAGCAGATCCCGTATTCACTTCTTATAGTTTACCCAGTCAGATTACTGAATGGGCGAACAATGCACGGGCCTAGGGGAGCCTCGGTTAAACCAAACGTTTGGATATGATGCCAAACGATATAAGAAACAACAAGCTTACATCTTCGGTCACTCCCCCCCCCTCTTCTTGATTGGAGATGCAAGATTGGGCCAATGGCTGGGGGTGGTGCGTCTTCTGCCTCGGAACTCCTGAAACCTTAATCTGACCCTGTTTTTCTAGTTGAGCCAGAGCACCCCATGGGGGTTAGCCCGAGGGGGTCATTCCTCCGGTAGGGGTGAGCATGAACGGGATGAGTGAGTGGCTCCCGTTGCCGAAAGACGGTGACGGTGGAAACGCTCGCAGAGGAAGTGGCAAAAAATAAGCGTTGCGGAATTCCTTGTTTTGCGTTACGTTAGAGAAGCCAGGAAGTTAAACGCAGATCCATCTGAGAAAATATCAACACGTGAGGTTAAAAAAAAAAAACTAGATAAAACCTGGTTGGAAGAGCCAACGATTTCACACGTGAAAAGCCACATCTGGAGCTGGAGGCAAAATTTATTTATTTCGCCTCGTAAATGTAGATGTTGAACTTTCCCCCCCCCCCCCTCCCCTCTTCCCCCCTCGCCCCCGCGCAGCATCCCTCTTCGAGTTGAACTTTCCCCCCCCCCCCCCCCCCTCCCCCTCCTATATTGCATGTCTTCGCTCGAGGGAGCAGCTGAATACGATGGAAATGAAATTCCTGGAAGACGTCGTCGTCGGAAACGTTCGCTTAAACCCCTTCATAAAACACAAAATTCACCTCCCATCGAACGCTGACTTTCGACGGCATTCCCAAGTACGTACCTCTTCCCTTTCATCTTGGAATCTGACAACATAGGAGGGAGAGTCAATAAATAAGGTGAATTTAATTTTTTCACGGGCATTATGTACCAATTATGTACTCATTACCACATACCCTCATTACTGCATATCTGAACATGTAGTACTCATAGTTTCAGCAATATAAAGTTGACAACATTGTCGCTGACAGTTTTTAAAATGGCGGCTCCGAATTCAGTTTGCACCGCTGTTGAACAACGAAGTGTTATTCGGTTTTCACTGTCAGAAAGAGTCAAACCAAGTGAAATTTATCGTAGAATGCGTTCACAATATGAGGACAGTCGTTTTTCATTGAAAAATGTGTACAAGTGGTG